AGTTGAGCACTACTGTTTTTTAACTGTTTTAACAACAGCAAAATTGTTTTTTTGTGTTAATTATTAGTGTTAAATGAATTCATATTGAAAAAAAAATTTTTTTAAGTTGTATGACATTTTATAAATTTATAATTTTTAAATAAAAATAAAAATAATACAAGTAATTATAAAAATAACAATAATCATGATTATAGTTGTTTAAATAACAATAATAATTATAATAGTTTAAATAATAATAATAATAATTTACATCAAAGATAAGATTTCCATAAGGCATTTTCAATTTTTTAATAAGAAACGCACTTGTTTCCAACAATTTTTCAAAGTAATACGATTTAAAAAAATCATTGAAAATAATTTTGATGCAGCTTTCTTCAAAAAAATAAAAACTAATCAATCAAAATATTAAAAAGAAAAATTCCTTTCGAGGGTTTGTCAAATTTTTTATTATTTGAACTATATAAATTATAAATAAAAATCTGTAAATTAAGATATAATTTAATTTTTCCGACTAAGACAAAATAATTTTCTTGTGTCAAGAGGAAAAATTCTTGAATTGAGAATAATTTCTTCACGGTGAGAAATTTCTATTATTTTTTATGGTGCATATTACTAGTGAACCTTATTGACTCAGAATGAAATTTTACAATGGCCCATAGTAATTTCCGAAACAAATGAAATCAGACATAGCAAACGGTAGAAATTGAAATGTACCATAGTAAAATGAAATATGCAATAATTTAAATTTCCGAATGTACTGTAGCAAAAAAAATAAGAAAATGTTTGTAAAAAATAAAAAATTTTAATTAAAAAATATTTTTAGCAATCAAAAAAAATATCAAACCAAACAAGATTTTTTTTTTTGTTTGTAATAATTTTTAAAAATATTTTTTTAAAATATAGTTTTTTTTTATTTTTTTTCTATTTTTTTTTTTATTTTTAACAATTAACGTAGGATTTATTTTGGCAGTTAATTTTATTATAAATAATTATAAACACAATATATAACTTTTCCATTATTTTTTATTATAATAATAATATATTATTAGAAAAGTGTTGGTTGCAGGTTAACCATCAAATGTTTGTTTTAATCTTAATTTTTCTCGGTAAATTATTAAATATTTTATTATTTGGGAATCTTACAAATTTTTATTAATTATTCATATGTTGATGGATTTATAAACTAATATTTATTTAAAACAATGTTTATTGCAATTAACATATGAATAGTTAATAAAAATTTGTAAGATTCCTAAATAATAAAATATTTAATAATTTACCGTGAAAGATTAAGATGAAAACAAACATTTGATGGTTAACCTGCAACCGACACTTTTCTAATAATATATTATTATTATAATGAAAAATAATTTAAAAGTTATATATTGTGTTTATAATTATTTATAATATAATTAACTGCCAAAATAAATCCTTCGTTCAAATTAAAAATAGAAAACAAATAAAAAAAACTATATTTTAAAAAAATTTTTTTAAAAATTATTACAAACAAAAAAATCTTGTTTGGTTTGATATTTTTTTTGATTGCTAAAAATATTTTTTACTCTAAAATTTTTTATTTTTTACAAACATTTTCTTATTTTTTTTGCTATAGTACATTCGGAAATTTAAATTATTGCATATTTCATTTTACTATGGTACATTTCAATTTCTACCGTTTGCTATGTCTGATTTCATTTGTTTCGGAAATTACTATGGGCCATTGTAAAATTTTATTCTGAGTCAATAAGGTTCACTAGTAATATGCACCATTGTAAAATTTAAAATCCATGCAGAATAAAAAATAATAGAAATTTCTCACCGTGTATTAATAATTTTTATCGTTAAAGAGGATGTAGTAGAGAAACGCGGGCCGACCTGAGTATCTGCATCGATAGTCTTGTAGAAAAATTATAAATATTATTCTTACAGAAAATTTTTTCCCTTTTTTTAATTCTTTTTTTGAGTATAAAAAAGGTTATTTACGTTTTCTTGTAATAGCAAAAAAAGGAAGTATTTTTTTTTTATAATTCATTGTACAAAAATTTTGTATATCATTTTTGCGGCCGGAAATAATTTTTCTTTAAAAATCATTTACATACAAATATTCTTTCAATTTTTGATAAAATTAATTAAATTTTTTAATTAATCAGTATATTTATGGCAAATATTTTGTAACAGAATAATTTGTCCTGTTTTTTTAATAATAAAGGAATAAAAGCGTATTTTTGCGGAAGATACTAATGAATGCATTTAATATACAAAAATTTATTTTTTCAGGTACGCACGATGAAGTCTCACAAAAGCTTAACTCTTCAAGAGTAAGAGTACTTCCGGAGAAGTATTTAATAACTTGCATGAATTTGAGGGAGGAATTCGAGAGAGAAAATATATCTCCGTCTAATGGCATTTCATCTCCATGCAACAGCCTATCATCTCCATCAAACAGAACATCATCTTCATCAACTTCACGAAGTTTAAGTAATAAAAAACCTGAACCTGATCCCCTTGCAGAACGCTTGAACCAATTCGATAAGCTAAAAACGTCACTTACAACCGTAAGTCCACCTAGCAGTGTTTTTCCTTCAAGTAGTAATAATGAAGATATTATTGATCCAAATCCAGTCGTCCATCCTTCAAGTTTAACTAATAAAAGGCATGAGCATACAAATTATGGATGCCACCAATGCTTGGAACTTAAGAATGAAAATGAAAGGTTAAACACTGAACTACAAGAAGTAAACAATCGATGTAAAGAGTTACTAGAACTAAATATGAAATATCAGCATCAATCGATAGCTTTATGTCGAAATATTGCTGAAAGTAAGTATTACAAATAGCTGTTGTACGCTTATATCGCGTTCCAGATGTTATAGGGGCATATAAAAAAATTGTTTTTTAAGAATCAACTCATTTCAGCCTGACACGTCAGGAAAAGCAAGAAAAATTTTTTCTCAAAATTCCAAATTTTTTTTTAAATTGGTTTTTTTCAAGTCCAAAAAATATTTAGATTTTGAAAAAAATTTTATACGCCCTTATGGCATCTGGAACGCGATATTATTATGATAGTTAGTACTATTATTCAAGTAAAATTTTTTTTTCAGAGCTTTCTAACATTAATGAACCTCGTGCTGCTGAGACAGAACCGCAAAATCCATTGCTTGAAAAATCAGCAAAGATAGGACAGGTATCAGAAAGCGGAGACCAGGTAAAATACTCGCAAAGTACTGAGCTCAAACTATCTTTTTTTTTTAATTTTATACTCTTGTACAGAAATGTGAGCCGAAAATTGCTTTATTTTGTTAAATATTGATTTTATTATATCACCTAAAATCAAACAATAGTAATTTTTGCCCTGCATTATGTTTTGATTTATACAATTAAGTTTTCAATCACCATTAACCTATTATTATATCTGTAATATTTAAAATTATATTTTCTTCTCTTTCTTTTTCTTCTCGTCTTACAGTACGAATATCAATATTAATGGACATCAAAAAATTATAAAATATTAAATTCTCATTTTTATTCTTATAGATTCATCTGGGCGGTGATGAGTGGATAAAATTAGAGCGTTATAGAGAATTAATGCTCTGTAGAAAAAAGACGTCTATTGTGGGCACATTGTTAAAATATCTATTTACGAACGAAGAGTTGAAACAATGCACCGTCACTGGCAAAGTTTCAAACCGCAAGAGGGTCCGAGTGGGGGCGGAGGAGACCATCAGAGAAGTGGAGAAGTTAGATTCGAGAAGAGTTTTAATATTAACAGGTATACTTAAAAAATTAATAAAAAAACGTTGGAATTTTATTGGCTTTTATTTTTAATATTGATAATTTATGTAAATGATTTTTTTTTCCTAGAATTTTTTCGTTATTATTGTACCAAGGAGCTAGGTATGGATAAATGGGAAGCTGATATGGAAATAACCTCTGTCCCACAAATAATAAGCACGAAATTAGCAGCAATTCGATATGGTAAGAATTAATGTAAGTTATTGTAAATATTAAAAAAATAATAATTATGTTTTGTAATTTCAGAACCAATAAAGAAATCAAATGGGAGTAAAAAGCGAAAGAAGGATAATCAAGCAGTTAATCCTAATACCCAGGATAATGCAACTGACCCGCTTGATGGTGATTATGAAATCATTGAAATCATAGAAATGGATGATATGGAGTTAGATATAAATAATGTAACCATGGAGGATACTATGATTCTGAGTGATGATAATTTTAGTCAATAAAGTTATATTTATTTTATATAATTAAATTTTTTTTATCTCTATGAAAAAATTATCAAAAAATACACTGATAGAAGGATTTATTTATAGTTAAAAATATTTGTTAATATTTAATATATCATTTATTAGATATCACTTTTTAATTCTCAACAAATATTTCTTAGTATTTAAAAATATTTATTACTATTTAATTAATGAATAACAGATTTATTAAATACAAAAAAAATCATTTTAAATACTAAGAAATATTTATTTAATATTAAAAAATGATTTTTATTAATTGATTTGTTAACTATTTACAAATATTTTTTGATACAAAAAAATCCTTCTGTCGGTGTACCTCTTTGAAAATTAACTCCTTAATTAATAAAATCAAATAAAACCTATCCCCAAAACCTTCCATTTTTTTGACGAATGAAAATCCAAAAAATCATCTTTTCGTTTAGCCATCATTTGTAATTATTCTTATGAATAATTAATAAATTATTATTTTTATCAAGTAAAATTTTTTCTTGGTTTATAATAAATTTCTCTATATATACTAATATTAATTAATATTTTATAACTTTTACTACAATTTGATTAGTTTTTAATAAATTTATTAACTCTGCCTTATATTCGTTTAATTTTAATTTTAACAAAATTTTTTGAGTATTTAGTAACATTTAATAAAAATGTCTGAGTACCTTTCAGACCTTATTTTACAAAGTAAGGTCAAGTTCGTCAATTTATTACGGCTCAATTTTAAATTTATAAATTATTAATATAATAGGTTACACAATTTTAAGCTTTCATACATATTCTTTCAGCTTGCACCTTCGAAATTTATAATTGTCTACA